CCAGCTCAACCCACGTCAGGCTCGGTGGGACCTCTTTTTCGAGCCGTACCACTTCCATATCGCCTACCGGCCCGGCTCCAAGAACCTCAAGGCGGACGCTCTCTCTCGGCGTTTCGCACCAGATGCCGCCCCCCCGGAGCCTCGGACCATTCTGCCGACTCAACGCTTCCTGGCCTCCCTCCAATGGCCGTTGGAGCAGTCCATACAGGCGGCACTTCCTGGCGATCCAGCGCCGCCGGAGACCCCACCAAACCGTCTCTACATTCCCGCCTCCTGCCGGCAAGAGGCGCTCACGTGGGGGCATTGTTCGCGGCTCGCGGGACATCAAGGACAAGCCCGTACCCTCCAGTTCCTCCGTCGGGCTCTCTGGTGGCCGTCCATGAGGAAGGACGTCCGCGAGTTCACAGCTGCATGTGATGTGTGTGCTCGCTCCAAGTCCTCCAACCGACCCGGCGCTGGAGAGTTGCAGCCTCTCCCTGTGCCCAAACGGCCGTGGTCACACATCGGGCTAGACTTTGTCACGGGACTGCCGGTGGTCGACCACCTGGACACTATAATGACTATCACGGACCGTTTCTCCAAGGCCGTGCACTTAGTGGCCCTGGCCGGCCTCCCCACTGCCAAGAGGACGGCCGAACTGCTCCTGGAACAGGTGGTGCGGCTCCATGGTTTCCCTCAGGACGTGGTTTCCGACCGAGGACCCCAGTTCGTCTCACGCTTCTGGAAGGCGTTCTGTCGCCTGGTGGGTGCTTCCACCAGTCTGTCCTCTGGATACCACCCGCAGACAAACGGTCAGACAGAGAGAGCTAACCAGCAGCTTGGACGCTACCTGCGCTGCTTCGCTTCGTCCCAGCCGACCACCTGGCCCCGCTTCCTCCTGTGGGCGGAACTGTCACACAACCTCCAGACCTCCTCTGCCACGAGTCTGTCTCCCTTCGAGACCTGTTACGGTTATCAGCCTCCTCTGTTTGATCATCAGGTGCCCGAGGTGGAGGTCCCTGCTGCCCAGACGCTGGTCCGCCGCTGTCGGCTCGCCTGGATCCGGGCCCGTGCGGCCATCACCCGGGCCAACACGGAGTATGCCCGTCAGCATCGCCGCCGCCACCGGCCTGGCCCCGTCTTCCGGTCTGGCGACCAGGTGTGGCTCTCCTCCGCTAACCTGAGGATGCCGGCTGGCTCCCGGAAGCTCACTCCTCGCTTCCTGGGTCCGTTCCCTGTCCTCAAGGTCATCAATCCAGTCACCTGCCGTCTACGCCTCCCGGCTACTCTCCGGATCCACCCGGTCTTTCACGTCTCCCAGCTTAAGCCGGTGATCTCCTCTCCTCTCCACCCTCCACCGGTCCGGGTGCCTCCGCCCCGCGGTGTTGAAGCGGATCGCACCTACACGGTCCGCAGGATACTGGACGCCCGCCGCCGGGGACGAGGTTGGCAGTACCTCGTGGACTGGGAGGGGTACGGGCCTGAGGAACGCTCTTGGGAGCCCACGAGCTCGTTTGTCGATCCTGCCCTGCTAACAGACTTCTGGGCCCGCCTTCCTGGGACTTCGGGTGCCGTCCCTAGAGGGGGGGGGGTCCTGTCACGAACTCCTCCAGCTGACTGCATTCCATTCATTCCTGCCACTAACGTGGCGACTGACGTTATCACGCCGACACTACTTAAGGAAGTGCCGGCGTTTCATTCATTGCTCAGTCATCGTTCTCACCAGACTTTGCATCGAGTCTCCAGGCTTACCAGCCCTCTAAACCCTCAAGCTACACCTACAGGAAATAACCACGCCGGTTATCTCTGTCTCTCCGCGTCTGGGCAACAGAACTCTCAGTCACGCAGATCTGCCAACGAACCTGACATATAGAAGCAGAAGAAGAAGAAGAAGAATAAAGATAAACAGGAAAACAATAGTTTGAATGCTTAACAGCATTCAAACAATTATTATTATTATGAAAAAGATAGTTTAAACTCTTTATTTTCTAATGTTAATATAACCATTTCATAAGAACTTGTTTTAATTTATTTTGTAATTCTGTAATGACAGTAATAAAGGGATAAAATTGGCCCTTTCCATCTGCAGATCCTCCACCAGGGGGCAGCAGACATGTGTAGGACTGGATCTGACAGGTTTTTGATGAATTTACTAATCTAATGATTACGATCATCTGTAAAGGGTTAAAACTGAATATTGGATCATTGCTGTGTTAAAAGGCAATGCAGTGATGTGTGCCAGGCCACATCTATAAAAAGATTCTTACCAGTTATTTGTCCACTGTCTCTCTGTAAGGACCCTACCTGGCAAAAATTCAAAGTGGGCGGAGTCTCTAGAAACTCCTCTGACCAGACTGGTATTCGTGACTAGCAAGATGGCTAACTAATTTGTTATTAACTTTTAGTAATTAACACAACAAAAAAAGCCACACTGATGCATTAGAATTTTGTATTACCTGGTCGTTTCTCAATACTCAGGGATGCTAGTACGTTCTTGTGTACTAGACAAGTACGTTCTTGTGAACTAGACAAGTACATTCTTGAGTACTAGATAAGTACGTTCTTGTGTACTAGACAAGTACGTTCTTGTGAACTAGACAAGTACGTTCTTGTGTACTAGACAAGTACGTTCTTGTGTACTAGACAAGTATGTTCTTGGCAAGGACACCAGGAAGTCCGTTCTACTGAGTATGGGAGGCCGAGGAAGGCATTTGGACCAGAACAGTACTTCGTTGTGTCATGGCAACAAGTGCTGCTTGTTTCTAGCTAGGATTAAACCACCTGATATAAAATAAAAGTCTAGTTTGTTCTCTAAATAACAAAGTCACAGCAAAAACATATTATTTGTATTATATGTGGTCCACTTTTGATCAAAACTGATAAAATACCAGCTGTTTCTAACATTAATTAATTAAAAAAATACATTTTTTCATTAAAACAGAGCAACTCTGCTTTTATTGTGAAAAATAAAACCCCAAAACACACACGGCTAATTTTACAGGTTATACACAATTACTTACAATAACAGACATCTTCATATTTCTTTATTAGTATTTCTGATATAAAACAGTTAATTGATTTCTCCTCTGGCGCTCCGAGTATAACGGTTGCGACGCAATGCATTATGGGAAACTGCAGTCCCAAGTCCACAAAAGGATGCATTGATGCATCTTCGATACAGCGGGCGGAGCAAGAACACATACGGGAACTTTGAGTGAACTTGCCATGATGTATACTTAGGACTGATGAAGTCTCACGAGGACGTGAGTACACAAGTACAAACAAGTACGCATATTGAGAAATGGCTGTCTGTAGAGTGCCTTGTGGGGTTCTAGAACTCTAGAAGGGGCTATTTAAATACAGGTCATGCAGGCAGTTTACCATAAACATCTTCAGTTTAGCATGGGGTCATTGGTTTAGTCTATGTTTGCTTCTGCACGTATGAATTACTACGCTGCTCTGGGTGTGCCTTTGAAAAAAGATCAAAGACCAATATTTTACAAACAAATTCAACCCATAATTAGAACAGGTTGGAGTGGTGTTCAAACAGTGCTGCAGACTGTATGAACATAAAATATTTAATGTTTTATTCCACCTTCATTTTATTTGTTTATAAACATTCATTTTTCCATTTCAGGCTTTCAACACACAGAGACTGTGTCACGGGCTTACGTGTAGCGTTAAGGCTTCCGCAGAGGTCAGAGGTCTTGTAGCTTTCATTTTAGAGTCTCCTACACTCTATATGGGACAAAGTAAAGACGGTCCCCACACATTCCATATGGGACAAAGTGAAGACGGTCCCCATATATTCTATATGGGACAAAGTAAAGATGGTGTCCATCCATTCTCTATGGAACAAAGTGATGATGGTCCCTATACACTCTATGTGGGACAAAGTGAAGACAGTCCCTATACACTTTATATGGGACAAAGTGAAGACGGTCCCCATACACTCTATATGGGACAAAGTGAAGACAGTCCCCGCACACTCTATATGTGACAAAGTGAAGACGGTCCCCATATATTCTATATAGGACAAAGTAAAGATGGTGTCCATCCATTCTCTATGGAACAAAGTGAAGACAGTCCCCATACACTCTATATGGGACAAAGTGAAGGCAGTCCCCGTATATTCTATATGGGACAAAGTAAAGATGGTGTCCATCCATTCTCTATGGAACAAAGTGATGATGGTCCCTATACACTCTATGTGGGACAAAGTGAAGACAGTCCCTATACACTTTATATGGGACAAAGTGAAGACGGTCCCCATACACTCTATATGGGACAAAGTGAAGACAGTCCCCGCACACTCTATATGGGACAAAGTGAAGACGGTCCCCATATATTCTATATAGGACAAAGTAAAGATGGTGTCCATCCATTCTCTATGGAACAAAGTGAAGACAGTCCCCATACACTCTATATGGGACAAAGTGAAGACAGTCCCCGTATATTCTATATAAGACAAAGTAAAGATGGTGTCCATACACTCTATATGGGACAAAGTAAAGACGGTCCCCATACATTCCATATGGGACAAAGTGAAGACAGTGTCCGCACACTCTATATGGGACAAAGTGAAGACGGTCCCCATATATTCTATATAGGACAAAGTAAAGATGGTGTCCATCCATTCTCTATGGAACAAAGTGAAGATGGTCCCCATACACTCTATATGGGACAAAGTGAAGACAGTCCCTATACACTCTATATGGAACAAAGTAAAGACGGTGTCCATCCATTCTCTATGGAACAAAGTGAAGACAGTCCCTATACACTCTATATGGAACAAAGTGAAGACGGTCCCCATACACTCTATATGGGACAAAGTAAAGACGGTGTCCATACATTTTCTATGGAACAAAGTGAAGACGGTCCCCATACATTCCATATGGGACACTCCAACATTAATCACCCAGGTGTGAGTGTTGGAAATTAAATGAAACTTATATCTTGTGATTTTATTGGTGCAAGAAGAAGAATTTAGATTGTAAATATTATTACTATTTCTGACACACCTCAGACAGCATGGCGTACTGCCCCCTTCTGGCCATGCTGATGGTAAGCAGGTCATAGACGGAGGTGGCATTCTGCAGGCTGGTTTGGCGAGCCGTGCTCTGGTCTGGCAGGCAGCTGATCACCGCTTCACCGCTGGTCTGGTGGGACAAAGACAGGATGAACGAGGAGGGCGACAACCGTAAGGAAGAAGGACGTCAAGGAGAAAAAGGTCAGAAATGGGAAATTATCTTAAATTCGTAAAAATACTACAGAGCTGAGAGGCTTTGTGCCTTACCATGGACTCTGTGATGAGCAGCAGCAGCACGGCCTCCTCCACCACGTCCTGTGGACAGAAGCAACTGGCAGGACACAGAAAACAGGAAAAGGTAGAAAACAGGGAGTTTGTTGGTCACTAATACACACACACACACACACACACACACACACACACACACACACACACACACACACACACACACACACGTGTCTGGTTTCTTTCTCACTTGCAGGGCTGTAACACAACACAGACCACCATGAATGCATCACAGAGCAGTCCTTATCTCAGATGTCATGCAGCACAAACACGACCTGAGTCTTTTATTTATTCAGACTGACTCTCTTCATCATCCCAGGCCGTCCCCGTCTTCCTCCTGTGATGGACTAATACATAAAACAGTCACCAGACACGGTGAAACAGACGTTTCTCTCCTTAAAGGAATGATGATGTGAGGATAAAAGCCACAAACGACACTGTTATGGAGCGTTCCCTCAGGGGTGATCTCTCCTGCTTCTCCTTTTGGTCTAATCTCAGACGTGGATTTAGATCTTCACTTATGATAGTGTGGGCTGGATTAGTCATGTGGCAGTGACTAAGTATGGCTTGAAGGGCCTGAGCAATGATTGCAGCATACCTGCAACAAGCAGAGCGCAGAAATGTAACACTTCAGTGTGTCGATCAGATCAGTTTGTCCTTTTGGGACCAGGAAGAAGATGTTTCGTCTGTCTTTCTGTCCAACTTTAAATCTCCAACAGCTGTGGCCAAAACGTAAGTGAACAACACAAGTTTCTGCTTTTCAGATCGTTGATCTGAGGTTTCCTATGGGTACTGATGTAGAGTTATAAGGTTTTCATTAATTATTACATTAAAGAGGACATTTACACCTATTTTTAAACAAGTTATAATAGTTCTATACTTCATACAAAACTTTAAACCAAACTCCTCAAACATAACGAGATCTCAGCATTTTTGTTCTTGTGGTTTTCAGTACCTTCCAGAATGAGCCATTTCAAAGCTTTGTCCTTTTAATGGAAACAAACTGAGCCACGCCCACCATCCCCTGATTGGCTGCTACGAGGTGAGGAGTTAAATATCTGGGAGAGGCTCAGAGTAGAGCCGCTAGTCTTCCACATCAAGGGCAGTAGCCTTGCTGGGAACTGGCAGGTATGGGAGGTTTGCTAATTTTCCTTATTGTGATGTCACAATATTTATAAATGACACCAACATCTCACAGGGAGTGGAGGGACAGGCTTTATTCTTGTTAGGAGTTTTTATGGAGGCAGTGCAGGCTCACTTGGCAGCAAAAGGTAACCCCAAAATTCCACTATCTCCGCTCCGCCCGCGCCCTCCGCTGCCGCTCGCTTCCGAACTCAAATTATACTATACCCGCTCTACAACGGCTCCGCTCCGGTGCGGAGACCTGAGGTGCGCAAACAGCCATGCGCGGGATTTTCGACATCTTGCGATACAGTCCAAGCAATAAATGCGGAAGTTAGATCCAAACATCCGTTGTGTGGGTGAAGCATCGAAATGAACTGTTTAATCTGCCCATCATTTGCGTTGAGAGATCAGCAGTGTTTGGATCAACAAAGGGTGACTACTTTGATAGTAGAAACTGTATTTATGGCTTATTTTTGTGCATTTAAAGTTCAACCACCATTGATAGTTGTTAAAAGTTGTTAAACCTGGGCATATGAAACAAAAAACGCTTTTTGTTATCGATTTATTGTGAAATAACGGAAGTTTTGCTTGCTCCTTTTCCTGTTGGGCGGTTGTGATTTCTGTCCATTGACTGCGGAGGTGCTCCGGCATCCGGCAAAAATAGAATCGATCCTATCTTTGCTGGATGGTGGAACGGCGGGCGGCGCACTGCGCCGCACAGCCGCAGTAGTGGAACAGTTCTGATTGACTACAACGGGACCGTTTTTGCTGCGGAGTTCGTGCCGGACCGGAGCGGAGATAGTGGACTTTTGGGGTAAGACTGTCCCCATCACGTTTAGGGTAAGAGCAATGTTCATGCTTCATCAGTAATTTACTACAAGTTTGTCCAGATTTGTGGGGTTTTGTTCATAGTACCCACTTCTAATGTTGATCACAAGTTTTCAACACAGCTCCCTGAACCTGGACCCCAAAATGTTGATGTTCTGGTCCTGTATTGCTGCCAATCTTGGTGCTCCCGGTGCAGTTGGCTCCTTTGATGTTGTTTTCGTCTTCTTTGTACCTACTACATCTGCACTCAGCCAGCTGCCCTTTCTCCATTACGTGTGTGTGTGTGTGTGTGTGCGCGCGCGCATGCGGGAGTTTTCATCTGGTTTGGACGAGATTGAGGGTGGGAGGAGGGAAAAACAAAGGGCATCTCTTATGTGAATCTGTGTAGGAGGGGTGGGAAACCGACTGCTGTCTGGTTGTTTTTAATATTGTAAATAAATAAATAAATTTTGATTGATTGATTGATTTTTTTTTTCAACTTAGCTCTGACCTTCTGCTCCATAATGCTGGAGAAGACATTGTTCATGACCAAACTGTTGTTGGATGGTTGGAGGTGTTCCTCTGGGAGGATGTTTAGGTACCATTCTCATTCATCAAATATTCATGGCTGTGTTGAGGCTAAACTGGGAGAGAGTCCACTCACACCATGCCTTTCAAAAGTAGCTCTGAATTAACGTCGGAAGAACATTAGAAACTGGTTTCTGATTTGACAAAACACCCAAACAAAACGTCTGGCCTGGATTTCTCATTGGACTTTGAATGAAAGACAATTTAAATAAATCCCACCTTTTCTACAAAGAAGAGTGATAGAGAATCAGCCAAATTTCGGCTTGTTGATGTTTATATTTGAGCCTGTAGAGAAAATCTACAATGAGTTCAAACTTTTGCGCTCATTTCTTTATTTACGATGCAAAATCCTTACATTCTGGAAGAAGGAAGTCCCAAATACTAACCACTAGATCTTCACTTCAGAGTGAAAGCCAAACAAGATGGCGATGATACCAACCAGTCTGTGCTGTAGCGCTGTGGAGGTTTGACTGTGGGGTAAACGGCGTCTTTCGAGGCGGCGGCGCCCTCTCTGGTCAGCCAGGCTGCAGGAGGCGGGCCCAGTGGAGGCCAGTAGCTGTCCTCCCTCACAGAGTTCAGCAACACCTGTGCCAGCTTCATGGCTGCACACTAGAAGGCAACAAAAATAAAAACAAAAATGTTTTTAGGAATATTAATTATGAATGATCCGGTGGACCATCATTAAAATAATAATCTGAACAAAAATGTTAGCTTGTTGTAATTCTAAGTGGCCAAAACAGAAATAAAAAATAACTTAAATTTATAAATACTTCAGATGACAAGCCAGCCTCAGACCACAACAACATATGGTTCATTATAAAGTCCAGACCACAGGCATGAAACTCCTTACAGAAGTCAGAAAGTGTCTTTTTGTTTATAAAAATGGACTGCAGTACCCAAATTTGACCACAAGATGTCATTCTTAATTATTTCTTACAAATACAAAATACAAAAAAAAATCCCCCTATTTTCACTCATTTTGCAAAGTAGTGGTTTGGGTTTGCTTGAGAAATTTTAAAAAAGCTCGAGTGTGGGTGAGAAAAAAAATCTGATCCATTTTTTCAAAGTTTGATAAACTAATAATAAACCTATTTAGAAACAAGAGCATTTCGTAGTATCTTACTCCCAAGACAGAGAAAAAGTTAAACTTAACAAACGTCCTTGCTTAGCGAGTTAATAACGCCTGCAGGCTCAGAAAATCATCTTGTAAAAACACTGCAGAGGTATCTTTATTGTTTCTTATGTCATAATTCAGAAAATCACATCTTTAAATACATATTTTTGTGAAAACCATGTTGTTAATTCAGTAAAACAGAGCTTTTTAGTTTGTTTTCACGTGAATGCAAGATGCTTCCACAGTTTTGTCCTTTTTTTTTACTTTTTTGTAATGTTTTTCTTCCTTTTTTAAAACTTTGCAGTTTTGGGTTGCTTTCAGCACCCCCTAGAGGCCGTTTTAATTAAAAGTCATTAAAACGAAAGTGAAACTCGCCTCCTTGCCATGCATTTGTCTTTTTAACACCAATGTGAAAACATGCAGGAAACGTGCTGAAAGCAGAATCCTGCCCTAGCATGCTGGCTAGCCACGGTGCTACTAACTTACAGAGTTTCCGCTAAATAATGTGACCAAGATCCTGGGAGGAGGAATCATGTGATCACAGGAAAAGACTGTAGCGCGTGTGCGAGGGTACAAAGACCTCGCATAGAGACGAGAAAGCATCAGTGACTGAGCATTTACCCGGTGAGAAGAGAGCTCATGTGGGCCTTAGGGTGAGACAAAGCTAAAGTCCCACTAGTGACATTTTTTCTCTGCATTTGACCCAGCCCCCCAGGGAGCGGGGAGCAGACATGTCGGGAAACATTTGGTGGTTTAACCCCCAAATCCGACCCCTTAATGCGTGTCAGGCAGGAAGGTATGACCCGACCGGGATCTGAACCCCGATCTCCGAGTCCCAGGGCGGACACACAAACCACTAGGTGACTGGGTCACCCGGAGAAAGCAAAAACACGCACAAACAAAACCTTTCGAAGTTGTATTTACAAGTGTTATAGGATGATCGTTGTGTCTGCATCCAGTCTGAATCCTTCTGTCTCTGAGCTCTCGGGATTCAGGAAACTCCAGATGTTGACTATCGTTTGACTCCCATCGTGGCCAGATGTCCCACTTATATCTTTCTATTTTAGGCTCCTTCAGATAAATGCTTTCTTTGTTTCTCCTGGGGCTCCATCGTGATGAAGACGTTACGATAAATACTAATAAATTGTCCCTCACCCTCTGAAGTGTTTGTGAGTCTTACCTTCCTGAAGCTCTGAGACCCTCGGGACTCCACCACCCGGAGTACTCTACGCAACTGGTGAGCACCTTGTGCAAGATGACTAATACACACACACACACACACACACACACACACACACACACACACACACACACACACACACACACACACACACACACACACACACACACACACACACACAGAGTAAAACATGGACTACTTAGATAATATAGACAGCTAAAACGACGACATCGTCACTTCATTTGCTTGTGATCCTGTATGACCCAGAGTTCACTTCCCACACACAAAAGCACGTTTTCCATTCATTAGAACATCAACATTCTGTTAAAAGTGATCAAAACAAACTAGACAAACACCCTGAGCCCTGTTAGGTCTGGCTTCTCAAAAGTGATTAATGTGCAACACTGACACCTAACGGTCTAAAGTGAACATGCACTCCTCTCGCACATGCATGCATGGCTGTCTGGGTCATTCACTCACCCCCTCTGCAGAAGACAGATGTAGGCGCTCTGCAGCGCGGCTTGCAGGAAGTAGCCAAGGTCAACATCAACAGGTGGCAAAAGGAAGCTGGCCTTGGCTGTTTTGGCATGAGGCGTTGTTACCATCTGAGAAATCAGAAGGTCCTTCTGATTAAACAGGGAAAGTACAGAATAAAAGAGTAAAATAATGTCACCTGATCTCTATAAGAGAGCAGCAGTAGACACCAAAGTTTTCACCCCAAACAAACTACATTTATGCACTCCTCAGGTCCCCAGGTAGGTGGGTTCAGAGTGTAGGAGCAAAAGCTAAAATATTAGTTATTAAAGTCAGATAGGCCCTTCTTTAATGTTAAGCTGAGAACGGATGGAGATTCAGCTATTTAGTTAGAATTTTCAAAATAATGCATTAATGCGCTTTTTCAGGACACTCAAAGATGCTTTCACACAAAATAAAGTCAAATGTTAGCTTTGTATCCGTAAAACTGACTGAATTTGAGAAGTTTTGTGTTTGCAGAAGGCTGAAATGACTCCAACATTAATCAGTTGTGCAGTACAAAAAGGACCTTTCACACTAAAACCTGCAAACCCACCTTATCCAGCTCCTGCAGGTAGCACAGAGCTGCATCACATGACCTGAGGAAACAGGACAAACTCTCCTCCTCTCGCTCTATCAGACGAACTCGAGACACGGTGGACACGGTCTGGTGATCCAGAGACAGACCTGAAATGGAAAAGGAGACCACAGTCGTAAATTCGCCTTCTGATTAGTTTTAAACAAGAAAATGTCTCAGATTAGAAGCAAAACTGCTAGAGTCCAGATGCTTTAATGGAGACAAAATAGCAAGAAAGAAAATCCTCGAGTTGCATCCATGAACCATGGAGTTAATGAAGCTTAAAGAGCCATAACAGCACTGATGTAAAAACTGATATTAGAATTAATTTAAGATGATCTTGCTTCTCCAAACTGAGGTTGTTCAAAGATCGGTCTACAACAGGTAAGATACTGACTATTAACACTTAAATTATGGGCCACACAAAATGGAGCATCAGGATTAGTACCTTCATCAACAACCTGCCATGTCAGGTTCTATGCATGTGGAGGAGAATCTGCAGATAGCAAGTGCCAATTATATTTAGATATTTCAGTTAAATTGTTATAGAGTTGTATAATAAAATAAATCAGACTTGTATATGGTTTTTATGTTAATGAGCAAATAGCAGGTTAGAGACTCCCATGAACCGATAGAGAAACATAACAGAAACTCGTTTCAAACTTTTTTTTAACACAAACATGAATAATTTAGGCTTTTAGAGACATCTTTGTGAGAATTTTTTTTTTGCCAAACCAAGTGAGGTCAGCTGTTAGCTTAATCCAGAGAAAAACATGGACTCTAAAGCGGCTCTGACACGGAGGAAACTTCTAACTCCCTTTGGTTACGTCAGAGGTTCACATTTAGAAACAAGAGAAAGGAACTTTTTACTAGACAACTCTGCTGTTATGTGTTTTAAAATTAAATATCCACAATAAGCATTTCAAATAGTATTTTTGAACAGCATTTATACGAATTAGAAAGAAATTTACCTGCAATTTGCTCTTTAACATTTGACGATGAAAACCACTTTAAAAATGAGGTTTTTAAAGTTATATAATAGAAGGGTTCGTGGTAAATGTCCTGTATTTATATCTAGAGGCTTCTGGAGTCCTAGAACTCTACCATCTTCACAGTCAGTCTGAGGCTCGAGTCAGATGTCATCACCTGGATATTCACATTTGATACTAACAAAATACATTTGTAAGTAAGTAAAATAACTTTTATCCTCTCATCAGTTAACTTTCTACAGTAATCATCTTCCAAAAGAAACCAGAAGAAAATCTATTAGATCTTATGTCTCATTCGATCACATCCGACCAGGAAACGGGGAGAAACACCATAATGATGATGAGTGAAACTAAATTATCCAGAGCTTCAGTGTGTAATGATCCCAGAATGTTAATTTAATTCAGTTTTGATTATAGAGCTAAGCCACAAGTCAGTGCAGTTCTTCATCCCCATGAACCCAGTTTGGTCATCATGGCCTTCATCACCACCACCATC